ACAGGCTAGGTAGCGCAGCCAGGAATTTAAGCTGTGCTTAACTTAAGCATGTGGCTGGCTGTGCCAGGGCTCAAAGAAACCCTAGAGAAGCCGCAGCAAATTGCATCCCACACCCTCATTCTTCTTCCTTCTCCTCCACCTCACCAGAAAGGGTAACATCTAATCCATCAGCCTATTTCCAACAGGAGCCAGCTCAACGTGAACAATGGGAACCCTGCAATCAGAGTGTGATGGCAGTAGCTCTCCACTGCTGATTCTCTTCTACATCTCATATTAAGGGCTATATTGCTTCTGAACATGACCCCTATTCAGAAGTTCTTAATCTGGATCCATGGACAGGCAGTGGCTCCATGCTCATGGGGAGGACTGTAAGAGTGGAATCCAATTAACCTTTACTCAGAACAGGCCATTTAAATTAATGGACCTAACCTAACCTTGTTCATTAATTTCAGTGGGTCTACTCTAAGTGCTGTATGGGGAGCCGGCTTCAGGCACCAGGCCCATTGGCAGACCAATGCTGCAAACAGTGACAGGAAGGCTGGCAACTTTGCCATGTGGAAATCCCTTGCAGATGACCGCAGTGCCTGGAGACAGACAGTCAGGTCATGTATCTATAGCAGTGACTGGAGGAGGAATGGCTTGCTAGGAGGAGTGCAGAGAGAAGAAGCATCTGCAGCAGCAGCACAACCAGACACCTTCATCTGCCCCACCTGCAGCAAAACATGTCTCTCCCGTATCGGTCTCTACAGCCACAGCAGGCTCTGCAACTTTCCAGCAGCTTGACCACCCCCAAAGACACACTCCTGCATTGTCTCCCAAGGCAGATGGATGTCAACAACTCTGAATAAGTTAGTTCCATACCATCCTAAGTGTGTTCAGCCAAACATCTTTGCAATCAGCATTTAGACCTCCTGCTCAATGCAGGCTGGGGTTATCACATGACTCCCACTGCCCATTCACAAATGTGTGATAAGTAGCCATTGATAGACTTATTCTCCATGGTGCAAGGGTGGGGAAACTGCAGGCCTCCAGATGTTGTTGAACTCCAACTCCCATCAGCCCAGCCACCATGACCAATGGTCAAGGATGATGGGAGTTGTAGCCCAGCAACAGGTTCCTCACTCCTGCTTTTAGGAAATAGTCTAATCTTTACTTTTAAAGCCACTTAAGCTAATGGCCACCATCACTTTCTGTTATCTGCCCTGAATTTGCTGCTCGTCCATTTCATCAGTTAACTCTCCAATATGGCGGCGAGGGAGAAGAGAGAGATTCTCTGCCACCACATTGTAGTGAATCCCCATGACAGCTTGTTACAGTATAAGGAGACGGTGGCAGCTGGTGATTCCAAGAGTCTTCTGTAAACTTGAAAGAGACGTTAAGGGGATCTGTTCAACGTTGCTTTCTAAATGCAGTGTCATCCTTCCATCCTTGTCAGGTCCCATTAGTTGCAGGAAGGCATCATGAACACTAAATAGTGAAAGAGAGACAAGGCTCCTTTGGAAAGCAAAAAAACAACAACAGACATATGTAATTTCTCTACTGTGAGATGGATTTGAAACAGTGGGAAGCAGACATTGGAGGCAGACATTAATTGAACGCCTGTGCTATCTCCTTTCAATGCTCAGGCTGTAGCAGGAGATGTGCTGAGACATTTTCTCCCAGAAAAGGCTTCAAGCTTCATTTTAGGGGTCGTGTTTCTAACATTTGCAGAGGGAAAATTGTCAATTTCTTTGTTCCCGCTTCTAATTGAAATTCTCCCGGAAGCCACTTGCTTAAAAACACATATGGTTTCTTAATCTCCTTCTTGAAGCAAGCAGATACAGTAAAACAGCTGAAGTTGTTGTTTTGATTATTCCTTCTGAGCAAAGTTTGCAAAAGCTGAGTCTGAAGCAGGCAGGCTAACACAGCTCCCCCACATTTCACCACCTGAATGTCTTTATTTTCTTCCAGATGGACATGAGGTGATATGATGACAACACTATTGCTGTAACCTAATCATGTCAGAAATAGAATTTAAATTCAGTTGTGGGTTTTAGAGCATCTAGGAACCAAATGTTTTCCCTTTGCTGGCTTTTAAGGCTGGTGTTTATAATGATTCTATGCTGCTCCATTTCTATGCTATCTTGAATCTGTTTTATGTTGGGTTCTGAGTTTTTATGTCATTTGTATTGAGATTGCTTTATTGATTGCATTGCATTTGTGTATTCTATTGATTTTTGTAAACTGCCCAGAGGACAGTTGAATGGGAGGTCTAGAAATGGGAAGGCTGCCTGAATGAATTAATGAATGCTGAAGCACGATGATGATTTTGCATACCAATCCAATTTTGAAATCCATTCCAGGCCACCTAAGGTGTAACACCTCTGGCTGTAGTTGCTCATTTCAGGAAGGTTATTTTGTGATGGAAGCACCTATATACCATGAAACGATTCCATCTTTTCCCACTTCAGGCTGTTTCCTATCTGAAGACGGGGCAACCCAGTCAGATGGGTGGGGTACAAAGAATAAAAATTATTATTATTATTATTATTATTATTATTATTATTATTTTATTTTATTTTATTTATTTGGGGCACAGCGCCACAGGGGAAAGGGAAGGTGGTAGCCCATGGCAGAATTTTTCTCTCTTCATTCACCCTTCGTGTTATTAAGCCCCTGGTGGTGATACATCAATGCCTTAAAATAAAACAACCCCATAAATCATGCAAGTAGGTTGTTCAGATTGAGAATGCATGCCAGGGCTTCCTGTAACAGGACTATCGTGGGGCAGCACTTCTACAACAAAGAGAGATACTCTTTATCACCATTTAGTTTTAGTTTATTGGTTACATATGTATTCCCACCTTTCTTCCATTTTGCAGCTCACATTGGAACTCATGCCTTAGCTCATGGGAGGACTGCTAGGGAATAGGCGATGGAATCAAGGAATCGCAACAAAGCACCTGACTGCAGTGGCCTTTCCTCCCTTTCCAGTTTATAAAAGCTGGGCAGAGTCCAAACATCAGAATGAACTTGGCAAGCTGTCAGCTTAAGAAATTGATCCAACATAATTTTTTTAAAAAACAACAACAACCCCACTCTTCTCAGACACCACCTTAAAATAATATTGCAATGAAGGTCTACCTTCACACTACCATCTGAGTAAACTGGCGTTTGTGTGCTTATCAGCCATACAAATTTATCCTTTTATCTAAGGAACAAACTGGGTTCATTTAGCCTCAGTCATTATAAACAATAAAGAACGGACTAGAGTCAACAAGCCCGTGGATAATCTCAAAGCCAATATATACACCCCTGACCTTTTCCCAATCCTTCCCTGGTTGTACAATGTTAGCAGCAGGAAGGGATATTAACACTTCCTTGTAAGTCATTCAGTCTATAAACTCTGGAAACACAATGCATTCAGACAGCAAGCCTGTTGGGTAGGAAAAATCACTTTCGGAACTGACTCCATCTGTGTGTGTGCCCACGACCCCAGCCCTACCATTAGGCAAAGTGAGGCATCTACCTCAGGCAGCAGATCTTGGGTGTCAAAAAAAGGCAGCAACTTGTTATTTAAAGTGTATTTTTTCTACCAGGATAGAGAAAAGTTACTTGTGAGATTTTCTGCTTCAGGAATCAGCATAACTTGACTGGCCTTGGGTACTGTTCATCTTAACTTGAGAGGTGGCATTTACTATTATGCCTCAGGCAGCAAAATGTATTGGGCTGGCTTTAGTGTGTGTGCTTCTCATTTTAATGATCTTTTGTATGGTTCTTGAATTTCAGAAGTGAGAGCAGCAGGGGTGGGAATTGACAAATACGAGGAGGGAAAACTAGAAACTGGGCACAAACGGAGGTGTGGAGAAAAAGAAAAACAGCATGATGATGAGGCCTGTTTGATCTTGGCCAGAAAGGTCAGAATCTGAATCACATTTCAAATTCAGTCAGCAGAGCACTTGCAAGTGGGATGTAGCAGGGTGCCTCGCATCAATTCTGCTTTTTGTCTACCTCCACTAGGAGACAATGACAGTGCAATCCTATGCATGCTTATTCAGCAATGGGACTTACACCTAGCAAGTGTGTTTAGAGTAGCAGCTTAGCAGTGCAATCCTATGCATGTTAATAAGGGCAGATCCACACCACACATTTAAAGCACATCCAATGCCCATTTAAAGCACAGGACTTCCCACAGAGAATCACAAGAACTGTGGTTTACTGCTAACAGAGCCACAGTTCTTAATACCCTTCGCCAAGTACAGTTCTTAGGGTGTTTGGGGGAAAGTCATTTGCTTTCAATGCAAGCTGGATATGTTTTTAATGTGTGGTGTTGATCTGAAGGATCAATAGGACTGGCTTAATTAAGGCTGCTGCCTAAATGAAGTATTAAATTATTAACTGTATTAATTTTCTTCCTAACTAATTCCTGTCCGTTTCACAGGAACGGACATAATGTTCAGAGCAGGAGGAACCAAAGTCCAGGTGATAACCAATGAGGTTCTGAGAAAATAGGACTCTGGAAAAGGAACCTTTCTTGCAAGCCTCTACACGAACTTCCCTCGGTCACATAATACAAGAATGAAATGCTCCTTCCACGTCTTCCAACATGTACAAAACCTTTCAGACAATGGCCTTGGGCTGGTCCACACTGAGTCACCCATAGGACATTGCAGGGTGCTTTTCTTGGAATCAATTCAACTATACATAGACAGCATTGGACGGTAGCCTGGAGCAGGCCCCAACCTTTGTCTGTCAAGGTGGCCTTTGCACAACACCCTGGCTTTTTTATTGACTGGCTATTCCAATAAGCAGCCCCGGCAATTAAAGCAAAAGCTGGGTGAAGAAACATAGGAAACCCACATAGGCACAGACAACCCCCTCCCCCGGGCTCCTGGCAATGCTGGAGGGACAGCTGTTGTGGGAAAGGAAGTCTTATAAGGAAGGGTTGGCAGGGAGAGGGGGAGAGGGAGAGGGAGAGGGAGCCACAGATCACCCCTTCTGCTAGAGGAGAAGACACTGACCTGAGAAGAACTGGCTGATGGACTGAGGCAGGAGAGTGAGGAATGCCAGTGGGTTGGCAAAGGAGGTGGAGAGCACAGTGGAAATGTAAGCCAGCCCTGCCACCAAGGAATCCAGGCAAGCCAAAGCAGTATACAGGCAGAACATGACGAAGTTCCTCATGTTCCTGCTCCCAATGCAGTTCCCTGTGAAGAAACAGTGGTGGTCATGCCTTTGGGTGACCCGGGCACACAGTCTACAGAAGTGGGTGTTGGGTAAGGCCGAGCCAGGGGGGCAGCTCCCATCGGGCCAGTCGGGGGCCACCCCATCGGCTCCGACCCAGTTCAGGCCCTTGCTCAGGTCCTCGGGGGTGTTCTGGATCACCAGGATGTAGTTGCCCAGCGCGTTGGCCGAGAGGAAGAGGAAGAGGGCGCCGTGCAGCAAAGCGGAGGAGCAGAAGAGCGGGGTGGCGGAAGGGTCTTTGAACATGCTGGGGATGAAGAGGAAGAGCTGGAGGACGAAGGTCACACAGGAGATGCACAGGAAGTAGGCAGGAGCGACCACATTGAGGAACCTGAGGACTAGCATTGTGGATTACATTCCTGCAACGGGGAGCAAGAGGAGAGAGCAAGTGGTCACCAGCCTAGCCTGTGGACTTGCCCTTTCCCAGGCACACAAGGATTCCCCATTCGCCCCCCCCCCCCCGCTGCTGGAGAAAAAGAAGCACCTCCTCACAGCTCTCCTTGGCTCTTTATCCCTCCCAACCTGCTCCCTTCCCCAGTGGAATCTCTCACAAACACACCGCACACATTTCGCCTCCTAGCTCTGCTCAGCGGTGCACAGGAGGACAAACTCAAAGGTTCGCTCTCCATCGTTGAGCCTCAGGTCTGGCTCCAGGGCCCTGCCCCTGGCGGGCAGCATTGCCACTGAGATGCCAGGGGCCGCAGTCCCTGGAGTGCCTCTCTCAGGTTGCCTGCCTCTTGCCTGCCTGCCGGTTGCACCGCCACCCAGCTCTCTCTGCTCCTCGTGGCCCCCTGTTCTGGAAGGCTGCAAGACACCCTCGCCGGGAGCGAGTCCCCTTCAACTCCGAGGAGGATTTGTGTGTGTGCTGAGCAGACCTGCCGAGGCTCGCCCTACAATTCAGGAGTTCCTCTTCTTCCATGCAGGGCGCCGTTATTATTTTATTATGCGCTATTAATTAGATAGCGGGGAGGCGAGGATCCGGGTGGCGGTCCTAATCCGCTGCAATACGGATCAAAAACGATGCTCTAATTTCGCCTGGAAAGCCACAAATCCGCAGATTACCGCGGCGGCTGTTGCCCTGACATGGGCATCATCAGGAAATGCTCCAAACAGCTGCTTAAGTGCTGCCGGGCACCAGCCGCCAGCGGTGCGCCAGCAAGGAACTCTGTTTGTGGCTTTCAGCCTGTCTGGCATCGCTGCTCCGTCAAGGCGCATCGCAGAACGAAGCAAGCCGACATCCACTCCCCACGCAGCCACCCACCTTAAGGAACGCGGGGGCTCCGACACCCAAACAGGGAGGTGTCGCTACAAGTCTACCTCCCCCTCGCCACACACACACACACACACACACACACACACCCCCTTCACTTTCCCTCTCTACCCCGCCTTCCTCACCCAGCTCTCCACGCTTGGCTTTCTCTTCCAAAACAAATCCATGTACGACACACGTACTTCAGATGTGGGAGAACATCGCTAACAAGGCGCCCCAGCGCCCCAGCCTGTTCTCGAGGGGCCGCCCCTTGCCTCTGTCCATGGGGAAGGCGAACTTAGGCGCTGCCTTCGTTGCGGAGAGGCGAGGAACTCTGTCCGCTCCCCGGATCTGATGGTCGCCGCTGGGAACTTTTCTGTGCTCCAGCCCTGCGGGCGGGTGACTTGGCGAGGGACCTGCCAGGAGTCTCCACTTCCCCAGTCAGCTCCGTCTGGCTATCTGTCTGGCAAGGAGCGTGGAATTCACCTTGAAGTCCCCTTGCTCGCTGCTTGGATAGGTCCTCCCCGCCGTCCCCATATTTACCTGGAAGCCTGGAGAGGAGCGGAAGCTGCTGTTCCTTCAGCACCAGCCAGCCCTGTGCGCCGCGAAGCCCCCGGGCCAGCTGCTGCTCCCCCCCCTCCCCGCCTGATCTCCCTCTCTCCACCCCCTCCAGCCGCCGCGGTGTGAACAGCAAAGGCGCTCGGAGAGTCCCCGTTAGCAGCACAGCCGCTACTACCGGCAGCCCACCCTCCCGCCCGGGCTCCGCGGGGAGCCCTCGTTTCCCCGGCTTTCCTAGGGGAGCTGTCCGCCCCTTCCGCAACCCTGTCGGGGAAGCGCTTCGGGAGCTCGGCGGGGAGCTGTCCCTTCAGCACCACCAGCCAAGCAAGCCGCCTATGTTGCGGCGGGGGCGGGAAGAGAACTCTCAGGAAATCCGAAAGAGGTGCGCTCCCACCTGGAGTCCCTCCGGAGAGTGTCTCCTGCAGATGACCCGGTTCTCTGATCCTGAAAACTAAAGAAGGTAAGGGAGGAGCAGGAAGTTGTGCTCACTGCTCCCTCCTGGCGTGCCTTAAGAAGAGGAGCCCTGCTGGGTCAGACCAAAGGTCCGGCTAGTTCAGAGATTCCCACAGTGTCAAACCAGAAGCCTGTGGGATGCTTAAGAGCAAGGCATAAGGGCAACAGTTGCCCACAGCATGTGGTATCCAGGGGCTTATTGCCCCTGAATCAGGAGCTTTCAGTTGGCTATTCTGGCTAAAGGCTGTGTTTCCCTGCAGGTGTGAGATGCGGAAATACCTTCCCAGTGCTGCCTCTCTTTAGCAACCCAAGGGAGAGGTAACCTCTGCTGGTGCAAAAGAAATACGAGAAAGTTTGAGATGACATTATCATATAATTTAGGGTAAAAGCCAGCACCTCTCAAAGGTGTTTGGTGTGCATTGGACATGGGCTTCTGGAAACAATACCTAGGTGGAAGGCTCGTTCGTCCAGAATGTCTCATAGTGATCTTCAGTATCAATTGAGAGTCTTTCACTGGAGCAATCAACTCTTGTGTTACTCCCGAGAAATGGTGGCATATAAAAAGGCCCAGTTGGTGACTTCACAGCTGTGTGACAATTCCCCCCTGCCATGGAGATCCACCAGAGCCAAGCATAAACATATTTAATAAATTTTATAAAACCTTCCTGTTTCCCTTACTTTAGGGGTCACACGCACCTTCAACATCATATGACATCGAAACCAAAGTGAACAGATGACCTGTGAAGGTGGGAAGTATCATGTTGGAAATGGAGCCACCGAATAAAAAAGCTCTGTGGTGTTTGGTGATTTCCAAGGTGCAAATTATCTGGGCTTGTAGGGAGCTGTGGAGCCAGGAGCCTGGCACAGTGGAGACTACTATTGTCCAGGCAAAGCCCTAGTCTGATATGACTAGCATTTGCATTCATACAACATGTAGTCTGGCTCCACACTTAGAAGCATAGATCCTTCTGGACCTGGACCTCTGCAGTTTCTGATAAACACCTCTGCTTTATATACACCTGGGAACTCTCCCAGATTGACTTGAAATGACCTAGGGATTATGAATATATGAAGCTACCTAATACAGATCAGAATTTTTTTCCATCTAGCCCAGCTTTTACTCTGATTGGCAGTAGCTCTCCAGGGTCTCACGAAGAGGTCTTCCCCTTCACATGCCATGTGATCCTTTTAGCAGAAGACACCAGGGACTGATCCTGGGACCATCTGCATGCAAAGCAGCTGAACCATTGCAACCTCTACTACAGAACCCTTAGGACCTCATCAACTGGGCTGATGTTTGCAAGATTTGTTATTGTTGAGAACTGACTGTTTAGTTTTGTGTGTTGTATGTATTGGGGGGGGGTTGCACATCTTCTCAATTTAGTATGTTGACATCTGGGCTGAGCCCTAAGGAGTTTTTAAAATCTAGATCAACAAATTAAAAGGACTATTAAAGCATTAAACCAGTTTATAATTACCTGTACAGTATTTTTACAGCAAAATCCAGACAAGGCTGTTGATGACTGACCAGGGTCAAATGTGGCCTACCTGTATTGCAATTTACTGATAACTAAATCATTAAAATATATTATTTTTTCTGTATTGTGAGAGTATTTTATTTCACATGCATCGTCTTCCACTGAGCAACTTTCTTCCCAGACTCCTATGCAAAAGACTTACAGTTGTCTTGCTTCCCAAATCTAAAGGGCACTATACTTTTATACACGTATACATACATTTTAACTGTGCAACATTGTGAAAGACACAAATACAGTGGATGCTCGGGTTGCGAACGTGATCCGTGCAGGATGCACGTTCGCAACCCACAGTGTTCACAACCCGCTGCGGTGTGTCTGCGCACGCACGGGTTGCAATTTGGCGCTTCTGCGCATGCGCAAAGTGTGATTTAGCGCTTCTGCACATGCATGACCACCGAAACCCGGAAGTAACCTGTTCCGGTACTTCCAGGTTTTGCCGGGTCCGTAACCCAAAAAAACACAACCTGAAGCATCTGTAACCCGAGGTATGACTGAACACAATTTTTGCAATAGCTATAAATACAGTTTTTCACAGTGATTGTATGCATACATACACATAAGGCTTCACATAGAGACACCCCAACTGGATACACCTCTAGAGCTTAAACCCTGCAGTATGAAATCTCCTTCTTAATAGTCTCAACATTCTAAATTACTCTTCATCTAAAAGTTATGAATCCTAAACCACAAGATGGAAGAAGCAGATAATCTAACACCATTCCCCCTTCATCTTTTTCAAAAGCATCCCTAACTGTTGTCTGCCCAATTTTTTCCCCTGGAAATGCTTCAAGGGGAGACGTTCTACGGTCTCCCATGGCATCTTGCTCTAGTGCTGAACTACTTTTATAGTAGTTATAAAGTCTTCCTTTCTGCTTAACTTACATCTGCCTTCTTTCAAATGAGCCTCAGGTCCTCACTGAGCAAAACACATTTCTCCATTTGGTTTCTTTCATAGCCACTTAACAATACAAAAATTGCTTTTCACCCACACAGCGTGAGCCTATGCATATTTAGCAAGATTTTTATTGATGTTTTTAATTATGTTTTATAGCTATCTAGAGACTAGTTTTATTGTATTTTATATGTTGCAAGCCACCTTGTTATATTTTATGAAAGAGCAGATTACAAATTTTCAAACAAATGAAGAAGCCTCATTGAGTTCCATGCCATTTGCTCCCAAATAAAAACCACACAATTCTTTTTTGTTCAGACTTGCCTTTAAGACCCTTTTTATCCTCAGCTATACATTCTGATCTTGCCAATGCCTTTCTATAATGGTGATTTCTCTAAGGCTGACTTTAGAGTGCAGTATACAATTCACCAAGAGGTGCAAGACACCTGGGCCTTCCAATGCACCAGCATTTCCTCTTGAAATCCATGGAAGCTGTACAAGTCCAGGGTATACAGTGGCGGCTGGTAGGGTGAAAGGCAGGGAGACCAACAGTAGGGGGGGCAGAGCCAATGACAGGCAGGATGAATCCCTGAGTAGGGGCAGATCCACACCATGCATTGGAAAGTCCCGTCCAATGCACATTTAAAGCACATGGCATTGGCCAAAGAATATTGGGAACTGTAGTCAGACAGGCAGGCAGGGGCTAGCTGAGCGCAGATTACAGTGGTACCTCGCAAGACGAATGCCTCGCAAGACAAAAAACTCGCTAGACGAAAGGGCTTTTTGAGCTGCTTCGCAAGACGATTTTCCCTATGGGCTTGCAACGCAAGACGGAAACGTCTTGCAAGTTTGTTTCCTTTTTCTTAACACCGTTAATACAGTTGCGACTTGACTTCGAGGAGCAACTCATAGAACGCGGTGTGGTAGCCTTTTTTGAGGTTTTTAAAGACTTTGGTGATTTTTGAAGCTTTTCCAAAACTTTCCCGACACCGTGCTTCGCAAGACGAAAAAAATCGCAAGACGACAAAACTCGCGGAACGAATTAATTTCGTCTTGCGAGGCACCACTGTAAATTTGGTGAGCCAGTGCCCCATTTAGCCTACGTTACTCTGGTAGCCAATAGAACTTGCACAGAAAAACATCAAGGTAGATTGTGCCAGTAGTCTCTTTTTCATGACTATAGCATGCAGGCAGGGTGAGGCTCTCTTAATATGTTGATTCAACATAGTGTAAGCCTTCAATAGAAGGGATGCAGGTGACGTACCAGCCTGGGAACTATTTTTAACGAAACAGTGCTTTCTCCATATTTTAACAGCTTTCATCTTTGGGGGAGAGGATGCATATAAGGCTTTTCATGTAATGACAGGTTTGCAGACGAAAGGGAATGACTAACATGAAAGGCATTAATCCTCCCCATATCAGCCGACCACAAGTTATAGTTTATTAATGAAATGTATAACAGAAATTGAAAAGCTTTCCCCAAAGGAGTCATTACAGAGGCAAAGTAATTTGAGCTCAGCTCTCTCATTAAAATGGTCCTCTCTGTTTCGATGTCCATAGCTCAACTGCAGGCGAGAGTGTCATAGTCTAGAACCAGGATGCGAACAAGGAGGATGTGCAAAAAATTTAAAAAATGTCACTGTGCAGTGTTCTCCTATCTCATTTCCCTCACATCCGTTTTTGCATCTGTGTCCCCTTCCCAACAGTCAGACATCATTTAACTACTGAATACACTCAACTCTCATCACTGGACTGTTTTGGGGATGTTCCCCCCACCCACAGCCCAGGGTGGCCAATCCCATTTCGCCGCCTGAAGACTGGTGCTCAGAGAACTGAGACTGCAACTGGTATATATGATCAGGGCTTGTTTTCAGTCGGAGCTCACCAGAACTCAGTCCTGGCACCTCTCAGATGGGCGCCATTGCCATTCTAAGAGCCTGAGGGAGGTGTTCAGGGTGAGCTCCAGCACCTCTTTTTCTTAACAAACCAACACTGTATATGATCATATACTTTCCCTTCCTTTCATCTGTGAGAGGCTATGTAGCCTAGCATTCTGTTTCCAACAGCAGTCAGTCAGATTGCTTCTAAGCATACATTCTCATTCTGTTGCTTATCCCCAAATCTGGAATTCAATGGCATAATGTACATGAAAATTCAATTTCCCTGTCAGGGCTAATATCCATAGAAAGCTCTACA